GAATTGATCCTTCCTACTCCATCTTTAGATACATGAGAAGACACTAAGGGCCGAGAGGCAAGGCCTTCATACAGGGTTTCTTTATGCATAAGAAAGATTGGGAGCCACAGGGAGCCATGGGAATGAAGCAGATTCCCATCCTTCCCAGAGTCAATTCTTCTGGCACCTGCAGCCCTGCAGCTCTGCAGTGCCCCTGGTGGCCCCCTGGGCACGTGAAGCCCTCCAGCTCCCAGCGCCCCTAGCGGCCCCATGGGCACCTACAGACCTCCAGCTCCACAGCGCCCCTAGCGGTCTGTGTGTAACGAGTTTGAGATTGCGGCCTGTTGGGGTGGAAAAGCCCTGTCCTGTTGTTCAGCAAAAAAGCCAAAGTGGTAGAGCGCCAGTCCTGAGTGCAAAAGCTAAGGGCCGGTGCCCAGGCCCCGGGTTCCAGGCCACACGTTCACACACATGTACTTGTGTGCACATGCACAGCACACCCGCACATGCACACATACCACACGTGCACAGGCACACACGAACGTACACACGTGCTCTGAGGACTGAAGGCCCTGGCTGCAGAGAAAGCTCCACCTGAGAGGAGGAGGGGGGAGGAGGGGAGGAGTGGCTAAGAGGAGAGGAAGGAGGGAGCAGAGGCTTAGCAGCTACGCTGAATAGCTGTACATTCCTAGGGAGGGTCTGGCCTCCACACCCCCAACACCCCCTACCTGCCCCCCCATGATGATCAGGTGATCCCTTCCCATAGCCCACGCATTGCCCAGGGTACTGATTTCCAGATCTCTCCTCCCCCCCACCCCCACCCCCACCCCAGGTCTGTGCTCCCCTCCCCACCCCCACCCCAGGTCTGTGCTCCCCTCCCCTCCCCCAGGGGAGGTCTGTGCTCCCCTCCCCTCCCCCAGGGGAGGTCTGTGCTCCCCTCCCCTCCCCCAGGGGAGGTCTGTGCTCTCCTCTGCCCTCCTCTCAAGTTCACGCAGGTGGACTGTGGCACCACAGGCATATGGCTCCTTTCCCAGCCCCAAGGCCTAGGTGGGTGTTTCTGCCAACTGGCCAGTAGCTAAGAGGTTTTCCTTAGTTTCCTGGCGCCTTACTCTCACTTTCAAAAAAACTACCTGTGCCCCGCCTTCTCTCCCCTGAAAATTCTTTAGTTGGTGGAGAAAAGGACCAAGGTTACTAGAAGACATCAGGTAGTAGGGTACTGATGTCTTTAGTGTGGAGTCGCCTGTTTCCCTTTTCTTTCCTGGTGCCAATAGTAGGGCGCAAACTCAAGGGCCTCACACTTGTGGTCAGCTCTTTTGCTCAAGGCTAGCACACATCCACTTGAGCCACCGACTCATTTCCAGCTTCACTGGTCATTTGGAGGTGTACCATGGGCTTTTCTGCAGTCACTGGCCTTGAACTGCGATCTTCAGATCCAGCCTCCTGAGTATATGGATGAGCCACTGGCACCTGGCTGTCACAGCAGATTCCTAAAGCTGAAAAGATGTTTCCTAAAGGCGAATCTGTTGAATGATCCTTCACTTTGCACCCCACTTGAAATTCTTCAGTGATTTCTTGCTACCTTGACCCTGGCTCAGATCTTCAGTTTTCTTCTACACTTTAGCTCCAACCACACTGCTGTGGTGTGGCTGAAACTTTTACAGACTTCTGCGTGCGGCCTCCCCTCCAGGCTCCTGAGAGCAAAGGGGATCACCTCTGACACAGGTTTGAGCTGGATCCTTTCTGTGTTCGAACTGCATCTCTGTGAGTCTCCATCACAAAACTGGTAATCCTAAGTACTCTAAAGCAAAGGCATAATTCTGTCTGATCTCAGGTACCTACCACTCAGTAGCTGAGCGCTGGTGGCTCACACCTGTAATCATAGCTTCTTGGGAGGCTGAGATCTGAGGATTGCAGTCCGTGAGACCCACATCTTCAATAAGCTACTCACAAAGAGCTGGAAGTGGAACTGTGGCTCAAGCAGTAGAGTGCTATCCTTGAGGGGCTCAGGGACAGCACTCAGGCCCTGAGCTCAAGCCCCAGGACTGGCAAAAAATAAAAAAATAATAAATTAGTTACTAAGACTCATAGAAGAACAAAAAGGAAATTCATTTGAAAACTTTTTCAATTTTCTAATTTAATAGAAATAACCAAAACAATGTGGTTCTCAAACAAGGCTTCAAACTAATCTAATACAACTTCTACAACACATTCCAGAGCATTGTAACGAGAATTATTTACAGGCAGCTAATGTATTAAATAACCATGAAAAAGGAAAAAACTTGGTTTTATTACACACCAGCAAAAAACACAGGAATGGAACAATTAGAAACTGCAACCTTGTTTAAAAAATTAAATATGATCATTTAGAGAATACAATACCACAGAAACAGCACTTGTTCTTCCATAATCATATTGGAGGGCCATTAACCATGTGCAAAAAACAGTAGCAGGAGCAGTGATGGTGGTGAGGAGGAAGGCAGGAGACACTGGAACAGAGGTACTGGTAAGGCTGCTGAACTTAACCCTTTGCGTGCAGTGCTTCTATATAGAAAGATGAACAGGTTTTCCAACTGCACAAATCCTTTCTAGAGGAGTATGCACCTTTCCCTGCATTAAAAGCTAATAAAATGTCAACATTTTTCAGACCAGGAGCAGACATTCATTTCATTTGGAAGAATGAAATTTAGGCCACAATTGAATGGGAATACTGCAGTACACTTAGAAAGTCATTTTGGTGTTTTCTTACATAGAAATTTGGTAAATTTAAAATACTTTCCATTTTTAAGTACCACTTGCTAGAAAAAGGGTTAACCTTAACGATATGTCTGTAGTTTGATAGGACAAATACTCCCACTTAAGTTATTTTTTAAGGTAATTTTGTTTCTAAAATGCAATCAAACTATATAAAGGACCCCGTTATTAAGAAACTAGGACAGCAGGAATGCACCTGACCAAGAGGAGCCAAAACCAGAAATGTCCATGTAAACTGTGGCATATAAATTTTTTCCCTAAAAAAGTACCTTCAAATTTTATTTTACTCACACAACTACTTTAAAAAAATATGCAATTTTCCCCAATGTTTAAAATAAAATGCCACAATATATTGTCATTACCTCCAACATACATTTAAATTTCTTCATTTTTAAAAAGACTGGTGATACTGCATACAAACTTTCCTACAAAACCATCTGGGAGAAGATTTCTGACATGCTGTTAGGTGACAGACATAAGCAATGCTATTACTTCATCGAGGAGGAACCGACTGGAGAAAAAGTGTGCCCAATCCAACTGCAACACCCTCAAAACCTCCATCACCTTCAGCAGTAATTCATACAGAGGTGGAAATTCAGAACTCATGATAGAACTACTTTAGTTAAGGGAGTTGGGGTAGGATTTTCATAAAGCTACTCACTGATCCAATGCTGAATATGCAAATAGGAGTAGGCATGGCTGGCTTTGCCAGGAAGAACTAGCTGTCCTCAGGCTGCTGAGTGTGAGCAGGGGTGGGTTCTGGGAACGGGTATGAAAAGGGGTGCTGGGTGGGGGGAAGACACCTTAGCATCGACTCCCATTCTGGACAAACCAAGGGCAGACTTGGAAGACTAATAACACTAATCACTAATAACTGCATGTCAGGAGACCAGCTGAGGTAAACCTACAATATGCACACTTTAAAGCATTTCTTTGGATTAACTATAAATCTCAAAATCGCTTATGAAGAAAAAGTCAAAGTTAACTTTTAAAATGTCCTGATGTAAGAAACAGAATTCATTAAGAACCAACTTACTGGTTCCACAAAGAACAGTGACTCTGGCTAGCCTGAAGCTTACCCTTCTTCTGGTCTCCAAGTGATACACAGTACAGACCCCCAGCTACCCTCACGTTTGCAGCTCTCACTTCCAGGAAGTAGTGCCTCACTACTAAAGCACTAAAAATCCCATCTCTTAGGTCTGCAGAACAGCCTGAGGAACAGTTAAGTCTAGTTTTCTGATGGGAAAAGTACATCAAAAACTCTGAAAGGCTTGAAGGAAATGTTTTGTAGCCTTTTCTCCAAATTTAAAATAATGGTTCTTAACAAAGACTACACATGTCAGAGTATCAAAAGAACTGACTTCAGGAACTGATACTCAAATGTCTGTCTTGTAAAACATAAATTAATAGGAAACACATTATAATTGAATATCAATTAATGTTTATACTTTTAAATAGTTATGTCAAAGCTGAACAAACCAGCTTAAAAACACAAGGATCAGTATACAAGGAGGTTCAAGAAAATTTAAAGCAAACATCATTAATGTTGGCTTGTTGGCATTATTAATAGTAAGTCCTCAGCAGCAAGATTTATCTTTTGTCAATAGAAATAACACCTACTGGACCCTGAAAAGAGCATAGTTTTGAACTGACTGGTTTAACAGATCTTCAAGGAAACAAAACTCTCATCCAACACAAAAATATCTTTAAAGGAACACATTATCTTTTTAGAGCTCTAAATATTGAGATATCTGCTTAAGTTTTGTTTCTCCCCAACTTGGGTGAACCTACTTATGACCTGAGAATTTTAGAGAGAATTCATATAAGGAGCTAAATACTAAATAGTAGAGGTCAAAGGCTTAACAGAATGAAGCTATACTGCAACTGCTCACTTTCTAAACCTGCCCCCTAGATCTATGTCTATTTATAAACTAGAATCATGAATATCACCAGAGAAACAGATGTAAGAGAGATGCAGGAGTATATAGTTTTAAGCATATTAAAATGATCTTTTTTCTCTCACTCACAGAAAACTCTATCAGGAATTTGAAAGCGTAGTAAAATAATAAAACAGCTTGCACACAGCTTGCTTTGTTTTTGGTAAGTCTTAATTTATAACAAAGAAGAAAGAAAAGCTAAAAGGAAGCCAGGGAACAAAAGTAAACAGGCAGTAATAAAATCAATTTTGTTTAAATACACCATCAGAAGGCCTGAATCACATTCCTATTTACCCTATTCCTTGTTAAGAAAAGAAAAACCACCCAAACAATCTGTATGATAATTTCTTTAGAATACTTTATTTGATCCAATGTGAACTAAAAAAATTTACTTTTTAGACAATCAGGTCAATTTTCTGAGTAGTCTGTGGTCTGAATTGCTTCAGTGGAGTTACTAAAAAGGCAAATGATTTGCCACAAATCTGCTGACATCTGAAAAACATCTAATGGGAAATTCTTCTATTTTGGTCACTTTTCATTCTAATGTATCCACATAAAAGCAGGACTAAAAATTTTAATCCAACAAAAGAGAAGCCTGCACAAAGTCTAGAACACACGTTTTGAGTCTGAGCAACACGAGTGAAGAGAAAAGAACCAAAGCCAAGCTGGTTGTCTGCTTCCACTGCCAGGCAGGCTGGGTGCACTGTGGACGCCAGTCCGGGGGAGAGTGGCTTATTTCCTGCACTTACACACAGGATTCTTCTAGGTCTTTTCAAGCCCCAAGTCCAGGCAAATGTCCCACTTGGTGGACAGATGAGGGATCTAAACCCCACCGGGTTTTATTTCAATATTGTGGTATTTCAGTAATAAGCTGCTTCTGAAGATTTTCTGAGAAGTCTGTTCTCTATTAAAATAAGATAGAACTTCAAAATATGAATGTGAACATTAGAAATAGACAGCATATATTACAAACCCATTTTTGATAGGGACATTAGTAAGAATACACATTAGCTTAAAAAAACAGGCTCAGCAAATGTTGCTGATCTGCCAGTTTTAGTTCACTATTTACAAATAAGACAAAGTGAATTACAGAAAATTTTACACATTTGGTAGTTGACAGATTACTGTTTACCAATAATGCTCTATTGGAAAACTGATATATGAAGGAAGACTGGATAAGAGCCAGTTGTTACCTTCTCGATCAAATTTAAATGTACAGAAAACTAGTTAACTTTGAACAAACATTCTGCCTTGTGTGGGAATCGCTGCGGCCGGCTGATCTGAGTGGGAGGTGCCGTGTGTGGAACGGTTCTCTGGGAAGTCATCACATTATTTTCACAGACCATGGAGGTGATGGTGCCATCAGTGGTCATGGGTGAGGACAACACAAAACTATTGTTGAGTTCATGCCAATTTAAAAACTAAGACAATGGGGTAGGAAGGATATACTTTCATGATTCAATGCACATCTGCATGAACATTAAAGTGGAATCTGAGCCTCTTTTTTTTTTAAGGAGAAAAATAATAAAAACCAAGGGGAAAAGCTTAGAAGTTGTTTTAATAACTGCGTACTCCAGTCCAAAGACAAGGTATTGAGCAACATGAGCTTTGTGTATTTATGTATACACACCCAGTGTCCTACACTGTTAATACTATGTGAACAACACTCAGAGAACATCCTCAAATCGTTTCACTTTTGCTCTTTCACTCACAAGTCGCAAAGTGTTTCCCCCACCCCTTGATGACAAGCACGTCTCTGTCCATCAGTTCATTCTAATACTGGTAGACGCTGTCGGCTTCCTCTAGGAGGTGCCCACCGTAGGCAGGATATACCACAGCAACACTTAAATAAAAGCATTTTTTCTTTTCTTTCTTTTAAAAACAACTGATATAAGTCCATGTCACTTTACTTTATGTGCACTGGCCTCTCGTCTGACTTCAGGCGTTTTCTGCGAGGCTGAATAAAGTCTTCGTCAGAGTCCTCAGTCACCTCACCGTCATCCTCCTCCTGCTCAAACTCTGGCAAAGGCGCGAAGGTCCTGTCTGAGTAGATCTCTGTGAGTTTATCTTCAAAGTACAATGCCACTGCCTTCCCTGCCTGTGCTACTTCTGAGTCAGCCTGCAAGCAAAAGAGAGGAGCCGTCACCCGTGGGCAGTGCACACGCCTTCACCAAGCTTGCATGGTCTGAAAAGCTTACCTTCAAATTAATCTCTTGTGTGTCTGCATAAACTTGAACAACTTTCATCATCTAAAAAGGACACCAGAGTCAAAAAAAAAGGGAAATTATAATCCTTTCTAAGTTAAGAAACGGCATAGGATTGGCGACGAGTCAGCCATACGAGGGAACAGACTGCTATATAAATGCTTGCTCAACTTCATACAACATGACCAACTTTGTGTACAACACCCTGTTGCTAATGCTGCTGTGAAGCTTCCAGAAATCTCATTCCAAATCATCAAGGTCAACTTTAGCAAGAATAATCTACCCAAGAAGAAAATATTTGTGAAACAAGTGAAAAGAAATACTGCTTCTAAAAACTGTAGAGCTTTCGACAAAACAACCAGAGTTTATCTTTATACGGATGGCAATACAGTAACCACAAATTAATTTCTCATAAATGTCATATGCGCATTCTTGTCAACTTGAGTTCATGAAGGACTTGGGATTATTATTTTGTAAATGGAAATTAGTAAGATTTTACTAATTTACTCTTGTGGCATATTTGCTACTTTTCACCTTACAAGGATTTTTCTTTTTCTTTTTTTTTGGGGGGGGGGGGAGGGTAATTCAAGTCCTGGGACTTGAATTCAGGGCCTGGGCGCTGTCCCAGAGCCTCTTTGTGCTCAAGGCTAACGCTCTACCATTTGAGCCACAGCGCCACTTCCAGCTTCTTTTGAGTAGTTTATTGGAGGATAGGAATCTCACAGACTTTCCTGCTCAGGCTGGCTTTGAACTGCAATCCTCAGATCTCAGCCAACCGAACAGTTAGGATTACAGGCGTGAGCCGCTGGTACCCAGCAGGATTTTTTAAAATAATGTCACCTAAAAAGATAGATAGCTACTGGTAGACTTTACATGATTCAATGTGATTTAACTAAAACAGCACTATAAAAAGTTTTAATATTCATCTTTATGAAGACTTGATAGATTCTCATCTAATTCCATTTTTCTCTCCTACAATGAAAACTGTCCCTAATAGTAACAGACTTTATTACAAAAGTAACAAAAGTAAATTTCTTGACAGAGGCACAAATCATGTTTCTTCTTAAAGTATGTATATCATCACATTTTTATCCTCAAAAAATAAACAACTACAATGAATGAAAGTCACACTGCTGAAACCATAAAACTCATCATTATATACTCTGAGTTATTTTTCAAGATGAGCCATCAGAGATACATTTATGATTTTAAGGCTCTACATATCAATAAAATGCCAAAAATATGGGTACAGATGAATTCCTCTTCAAAGTACCCAAAATATCATATCCAATCAATTTACTTAACTGTAGATTACTTTCCATAATTAACCCAACTCACAGCTCAGGAAGGGCATTCAATACATTCTCAATATATTGTATCTAGGTACATACTCCAAATTATACATTTTAAAAATCCCTTCTTTGGAGCTGCAAATAAAGTCAAATTTTGCTTTTGAAAGAAATGAAGCAAAAAAAAATTTAATCAAAGAAAATTCTTTCACTAAAAATAAAATTTAAAAAATAACCCAAAATAAAATAAAAACCCAAAATAAAAAACACGTAAGCCAGTATTAGGTTGAAAGCTAACATACTTCATTAAACCTTTCACAGTTCTTGAAGATCAGACGAACATCAGCCACAAAATCATCTGGGATTTGGTAATGTTGGGAATGTTTTTTTTGAAGTTTCTTTTTCACGGTGGACAAATCCATTGGTTTCTTTATTATCTTGTAGTAGTTTGGTATCTAAAACAATAAGAAAAAGCAGATAAGAACTGCCCAAACATGTCTGAAAATGCATAGCATATGAATCACATGAGGTCTTTTATGCCTTCTGCTTCCGTCCTGTCCTGAGAGCCTAGGTGCCAGCCACATGTCATACCTCTTGGACGACTCCATATTCTAAACCTTTAATAAATATATATATGGAAAAGCCAGGGGAGCCCGCCAAAACAGTCACATCTGGAACAGCCAAGTTTCACTTATTATTTTGTCCCTTTTTAAGAGAATATGGCCAGGCATGAGTGGCTCACACCTGTAATCCTAGCTACTCAGGAGGCTGAGATCTGAGGATCACAGTTCAAAGCCAGCCTGGACAGGAAAGTCCGTGAGACTCTTATCTCCAATAAACCACCAGAAAACTGAAGTGGAACTGTGGCTCGATTGATGGAGGAGGAAGAGGAAGAGGAGGAATTGCTGTTATGATCAGAGCATCGTATCTTTTAGAAGATATCTCAGGAAAATATGATTTTATATCAAAAAGAAGTCTCAGCTTGTAACAATGGAGGAGACAAGTTTACTATTAATCATTTACTGTTCTGACCCTTTACTTTTGGCCAAAAAGTTTTCCACAGATGGAATATAACTGAATATGGAGAAGCTATTTAAGGCTTGTTTATTGTGGCCTATTTTGAAGCGGAGTCTATGTAGCCTAGGGTAGCCTTGAACTCTGGATTTTACTGTATCAGTCTTCTGAGCCTTGGGTCACTCTCTTAATCCCAGAAGAACTATCTAAATACTTCATGAAAAGAAACATAGGCTTTAAATCTGTACTTTAAATTCATTTCTCAGCTTACTCAGCAAAAAGTCAACTATCATTTAATATTTTCTTGCCTGCAGCATATGCAATAATATATTATTGAATTAATAGCCAGCAAATAAAATGTATATATCATATTCTTATGCTACTTTTTAGGCACTGAAAACTTCTGGGGTACTTTAGATCCTTGATTCTTAATAACAAGAGTCATCACAGAATAAACAAAAAGTAGTTTTTTTTCCTAGTGTCTTTTCTCAATCTTGACTAAATCAGAGGGTTTTATCATAGCAGAGCTAGCAAACACATGTGTCAGTGTTTGTATAGGACACTGTTGTGATCTCACACAGTGATGCACATTTGACACCCCAGCCTTGATGGAGAGGACTGCAGTTATAGAGAAACCAACCAACCAACACTAAACAGAAAGGAAATGCAGAAGATTATATAATGTCTCCTGGAAGATCACAAGTTTGAGGCCAGCCAACCGAAAGTTTGAGGCCAGCCATCCTAGTCTATTCAGACCCTATCTCAAAAATGAGAGTTTGCCTAACATGCATGAAGCCCTGGGTTCAATTCCTCACTACCACATAAACAGAAAAAGCCAGAAGTGGCACTGTGGCTTAAGTGGTAGAGTGCTAGCCTTGAGCAGAGAGAGGCTCAGGGACAGTGCCCAGGCCCTGAGTTCAACTCTAGAACTGGCCAAAAAATAAAAGAAGAAGAAAAGAGCTGGGCAAAGTGGCTAAAGCCTGAAATCCTAAGCTAAGTGGGAAAGGTCATGGATTGAGGTAAACCCAGGCACAGACGTTCTTTTTTTTTTTTTTTGGGGTCCGGTTGTGGGGCCTGTACTCTGGGCCTGAGCGCTGTCCCTCAGCTCTTCAGCTCAAGGCTAGTGCTCTACCACTTGAGCCACAGCGCCACTTCCGGCTTTTTTTCTTTTTGCTTATGTGGTGCTGAGGAATTGAACCCAGGGCCTCAGGCATGCAAGGCAAGCGCTCTACCATTGAGCCAACTTCCCAGCCCCACACAGATGTTCTTGAGACACGATTACACAGAGCTTGTGGTGTGCACCTGTTACCCTAGAGACGGGGAGAAGCACAAGCAGGAAGATAGCCGCCCAGTCATGCCAGGCAAAAGACCCTGCAAAAAATCCAAGGAGTCGTGGTTCAAGTACTTAATTAAGTACCTGCTTTACCTGAGTTCAATCCAGCACTGACTCCCTCAAAAAAAAAAAAAAAAAAAGCCAGGTGCCAATGGCTCTCGCCTGTCATCCTGGCTCCTCAGGAGGCTGAGATCTGAGGATCGTGGTTCAAAGCCAGCCCAGGCAGGAAAAATCCGTTAATTATCTCTAATTAACCACCAGAAAACCCAAGTGGCACTGTAGCTCAAGTGGTAGAGAGCTAGTCTTCAGCTAAAGAGCTGAGGGACAGTGCCTAGGCCTCAGAGTTCAAGCCCTACAACTGGCAAAGAGAAAGAGACAGAGAGAGATAAGAGAAATGGAGAAAGGAGGAAATAAAAGTTGCTTGATAGCCGGGCGCTGGTGGCTCACGCCTGTAATCTTAGCTACTCAGGAGGCTGGGATCTGAGGATCGTGGTTCAAAGCCAGCCTGGGCAGGAAAGACCTTGAGACTATCTCCAATAAACCACAAGAAAACCGGAAGTGGTGCTGTGGCTCAAGTGGTAGAGCACTTGCCTTAAGCTGAAGAGCTGAGGGACAGCACCCAAGCCCAGAGTTCAAGCCCCATGACCGGCAAAAAAAAAAAGTTGTTTGATGGAAGAACTAAGTTTTCTGATTCCTAGTTCAATGTTCTTTTCATTGTAATTGTTTCTCTTACATTTTAAAAGTAAAAAAGATTAATTTTAAAAGTTAAAAAAAATTCACTGTCTTATCAGGGCAATAAAATCTCTTAGAGCAAACTATTATTTTTTAAGATTGAGATTGGGTTTTGACAATTTCACTAATTACCTGGTACTCTACCACCTGAGCCATGCCTCCAAACCCTGTAATCCTTTTAAAAAACAGGGTATAGCTAAGTGGCCCAAGATGGCCTCAAACTCCCATTCCCCACCCCAGTGGGAATAATAATATGACCCATCACACCCAGCCCAAGAATCTGTAATTTTAATCAAATGAATTGGTACATCTACTTAGATCTAATAAAATTCCTGATTCATTAAGTACTTACTATGTTCCAAAGTACTACACTTAACACCTTACACAGGTTGTCTTATGTACTCTTCAAAATGATAAAGTAACAAGTGTTAGAATCATTACACAATGTAAGTATCAAATTGTCACCTTATGTTCCATAAATTATACAACAGAAAATTTTTTTTCTAAGATGAGATAGGGAAAGAAAAGATGTTGATTAAAGGATTTAAACTGTAATTTGATTGGAAGGTTAAGTTTGAGATCTACTGACTCTTGTGGTACCTACAGTAATATATTACACATTTCAAAATTGTTAAATAGGTTTAATAATCTCACCACAAGTATGTTCAATTGGTGAGATGATGGGTGGATGTATGAAAATCTTTATTAAACTTGACCAAGTCTTTCTATATATACATAGATCACAACGTAAAGCCATACCCCATTATTATTTGTCAAAATAACTTTTAAAGAACCTCAGAAAATGTTGAGTCTTGGAGGACCTTAAAAGCTTAATCAGGAAGACTGAGCTTCACTACAAGCTCAGAAGTCTGGAGTAAGGTAAAGCCCGTATTCTCAACATGAGATGACTTCATCACCAAAACAAGTAGATCCGGGTTTGCAACTCACCGAAACAGGAACAGGCTCCTGGAATTCAATACTTAATTCATGGCAATAGAGGTAAAGCAGAAGGCGTTCACATTTCTGGTACCACAAAGAAAAGGAAGACATATTTAGTATCACCTCATCTCTGGTAAGATATTTTTGACAATAAGATTGATTGCACTGTGAAATGTTACATATTTACATGTCTACATATCAGCTATCTAAACAAACATATTCAAAAGGAAGCCCATCTGCCTCCCATATATTTTTGAAATTATGTCCTGTTCTATCTGAAATAAATGAAGTGTGCCTTTATTCTAATATAACTAAGGTAACAAGCACTGTTTATAGAAACAAAACATAGTTATAACACCAACATACAGCACTTTGTGCAAAAATTTGTGAATTATTTGGTAAGAAGCAAATAAATTATTACTTTATGGTAATAAGGAAATAAATTATTACTCTTGCAACACACAGTAATTCTCTCAAGTGAGCAAATCAAGTATTCTTACCCTTATTTCAAGTTGACTCTACTCAGGTTCAACATATATACAACCCATCTCTCCTCAATCCAATTACAAAATTTTTCTTTGCACATCTACTAAGTTTCCAGGTGTATTTTGCATTTGTAGTTTTCTATCTACTTAAAATGTCTGCTAATGTAAGTTCATACACATTCAACACACAGTGGAGAAAAGATTTTGCAAGTCTACTGAATCACACTTAATGGCCACAGAACTAGGTGGAAGACATTTTATCCTCAGAAATGAGCCTACAATCAAATCAGCAACAGCAACAGCCAGAGTACAGTGAAGAAAGAACATTTGATTTCATTTCTAACTTATCAGAAACTTAGAAGATTTTAAGGCATATATGTGATAGGCTTCTTAGCTTTTTTTGGGGGTGGGGGAGGAATGCTGGTACTAGGGCTTATACTTAGGATATGGTAATGTCCTTTAGATGTGATAGGCTTCTTAGCTTTTTTTTTTTTTTTGGGGGGGGGGGAAATGCTGGTACTAGGGCTTATACTTAGGATATGGTAATGTCTTTTAGCTTTTTTGCTCTAGCCCTAGTACTTCCTACCACTCGAACCATAACTCTACTCTGTCTTTTCTGGTGGGTAACTGAAGATAAGAGTCTCATGGATTTTCTTGCCTAGGTTAGCTTCAAACCATGATTTTTAGCCTCCTGGGTAGCAGCACCCAAACTTCCTTTTTTTTTTTTAAAAAAGAACACTTCAATATAAAAAATTGGGTTAAAGGTGGAACAAGAATAGACAGAGAAACCAGTTACAAAATTATGGTAATAGTCTAGATAAGAAATTATGATGGGGCTGGGAAGGTGGTTCACTGGTAGAGTGCTCGCCCAGCATGCATGAAGCTCTGGGTCTGTTCCTCAGTACCACATAAACAGAAGAAGCCGGAAGCAGTGCTGTGGCTCAAAGTGGTAGAGTGCTAGCCTGGAGCAAAAGAAGCTCAGGGACAGTGCCCAGGCCTTGAGTTCAAACCCCAGAACTGGAGGGAAAAAAAAAAAAGTTATGATGGCAGTCTAGGGTTGTCATGGCTTGGATTCCTCATTTCTAATAGGCTTCTAAACTGAGCCATGGAAGTGAATAGTGATAGGGAATACTGAGAAGGGAGAATAGTTATTTTATGTTATTTGATTTCTTTTGGGGGGGAGGGTAAAGATTAAAATCAAGATTTTTAAGGGCTGAAGGTATATGACTCAGTGGTAGAACTAGCCTGAGATCCTGAGTTCAAACCCTAATATGGCCCTAAAATAGATTTTAGTTAGAATATGTTAAGTGAAGAAGCTGCATAAGCATCACAAACTGAGGAATATTAGAAAAGATTTCAGAAATACTAATATGCCATCAGATCGTGGAACTATAAAACTCTAAAGGTCTGTGTAACACATAGACAAACAGAAGCAACAACCCTAGGTAGATAGGTTAACAAATCGGCATATTTGACACTTACCCTTTGGTCCACAGGGCTCAATCCCTGTACGGTTTTCCCCTTCTTGCTGTGCTGCAAATTATCACAATCATATTCAACTTCTGGCTTCCCAATATCTCTGCAAAACGTGCATATCCAGTCCCCACTGTGCAAGAAGACAGGCAATTAGTTCATGTGATTGTAATGAAGTGTGCTCTAGACACAAACTCCCTGAATTCAATTTTGTTTTCTTTAGTTTTGTATTTTGGATAAAGACGGGTTGCCACATTACATGAACCTACTTCCTGAATAAAAGATATGGAGAGCCTTGGTGTCTTATACTATGTTGTCATGTGTTATACTTGCCAATCATAAATTAAGACTTATTTCATGTCAACTCAAAAGATAGAATACAGAAACACACACGGATAAGTACCAGCACAGCACATGTACAAATAAATACCCCTCATCTTTTTAATACTCTTCTTTTTTTTGGGGGGGGTGGGTGCATTTACTGGTGGGTTTGAATTAAGAGCCTCATGCTTGCTTGCTAGGCTAGCATTCTACAACTTTAACCATGCCTCCAGCCTAGTTGTTTGGGAGAATGAGTCCAGCAATCTTTTCTGCCTAGGCTGGCCTAAGCCACAATGCTCCAGATTTCAACCTCCCTGAGTGGCCAGGATTGTTAAGTGTGACCCACTGGCATTTGGCTCTCCTTATCGTTTCATTCTGATAAAGTCTATACTTCTTTTTTTTTTTTTTACCAAACTGTATCAAACTAGAAATTCCAGTTGGACACTGGTGGCTCACAGCCATCATGTACACCAAGAAAAATACTAAGTTTTCACTCAAACAAAAATAAAAAATAAATAAAAAGAAAAGGGAAAAAGAAGTGACTCAGTGGTAGAGTACTTGCCTGGCATACTGAAGGCCCCAGGTCTGATTACAAGTATAGCAAGCAAAACAAGCATATAGACAAATAAGGTAATAAATTCAGAGTTAAAAAAACACAAGTACAGCCAGGTGCTGATGGCTCACACCTATAATCCTAGCTACTCAGAGGATTGCAGTTCAAAGTCAGCCCATGCAGGAAAGACTGTGAGAATCTTATCTCCAATGAACTACCAGAAAAACTAAAGTGAAACTGTGGCTAAAAGTGGTAGAGTGCTCACCTTGAGCAAAAAAAGAGCCTAGGGACAGTGCCCAGGCCCTGAGTTCCAGCTCCAAGAAAGACAAATAAAAAAACAAAAACAAAAAAGCACCACAAGTACAACTGGGTGAAGTGGCACATGCCCATAAATCCCAGATATTCAGGAGTCTGAAGTGGGAAGATCAGGTGTTGGAAGCCAACTGGGGCAAGTTAGCAAGTTTCTGTCTCAAAGTAAAACATAAAAAGGTCTGGGAATATAACTTAGTAAAAGCCCAGAATATGTGAAGCTCTAGGCTCAATCCCAGTACAAACAAACAAACAAAAAAGGCCTAAGGATTCTACAATTTCTTTTTTGTATCAGTACCGGTGCTTGAACTCAAGGGTTCTCACTCTCATCTGTGACCACTCTACAACTTGAGCTACACCTTCTACTTCTGGCTTTTGCTGGTTATTACATCTAAGAGTCTTAGATCTGTCTCTCTGGACTGGCTTTGAACTACAGTCCTTGGATCTCTGCCTCCTGAGTAGCCAGGATCATAAGCACCAAATCTCACTGCTTATAAATGCAAAACTGACACTTGAAAATCAGGTATCCAAAGTCCCAGAAGAATTGTAAGTACTCTACACACATATTCACTGTACTGAATGAACTAGGATTATAAATTTACCTAGGATGCTCACCTATGAATATTTTTGTGTGTGGTTTGTTTGTTTGTTTTGGCTAGTCCTGGGGCTTGAACTCAGGGCCTAGGCACTGTCCCTGAGCTGCTTTTTCTCAAGACTAGCACTCTACCACTTGAGCCACAGTGCCACTTTCAGCCTTTTCTGTGTATGTGGTACTGAAGAATTGAACCCAGGGCTTCATGCATGCTAGGCAAGCACTCTACCACTGAGCTACTTTCCCAGCCCACCTATGAATGTTTTAATGCTTCTAACTCTTATTTAGCAGACTCTTAAGGACAAACTTTACATTCTCAGTCTCTTTACCCATCTTTACTTCATCTACAAAGAATTTAGTAACTGCCCACACAAAGTCAATAAAGGAAAAACATTCTTAACTGGGAATGATGGTGCAACATTTGCAATCCCTGCACGTGGGAGGCCAAGGCAGAAGGATTACAAGTTCAAGGCCAGCCTGGACTACATAGCAAGAGGGTCTCATTTAAGGTTTGAACATTTTGTCATCCTAATATTTTTTCTGAAAGCTAATACAAATGGAGCAAATGACTGTTTTACAGAAATACTACGCAGTGGTTAAGAAGGCTATACGACTTTTCAAGTTTTTCAGAAACAGCTTTCTGTTATATTTTTAGCTTTTGAAAATAACAGAGACAAAATGGATTGTTCCAGTGGTACCTTGGAAAGCTAAGAAGTGTTGGAACATGACAAGTTAGATGAAAGACCTTTGGACACTTTTCACAGCACAACAGATCCCCTCCATTCTGGCAGACGGCACACCAGTCCTCGTTGGGGTCCTCGTCTTTGCTGCTGCCATCTCCTCCAATCCTGGCCGACCTGTGTATGAGGCTTCGCACTGGAGACTTTCCGTTAACTAGGCCACTGAGCCCAGACTGTTTGCAGCTTTCATTCACGTCAGTGGGCTCAGTCTTCACGTGGTTCTCTAGGCTGGCTAATGTGTCCAGCTCACTCTCTAGATGCAGGTTAGTTGAGAGAGGTGGTGTCAAGCTACTCTCGGGGCTGCTCAACTAAGACAAAAAAGACAAATTCTTGAAAAAATCATTTTATCCTTATGGCACACAATGTGCGTTTATTTAAAAATTATGTCAGTATCCATACTGATAAACTAACGTTAACTTAAAAATCTACTTTATAAATCCTATTAGTGACAGTAAAGAATGAAAATAACCTCAAAATTATTTAGATATGCTAATGTATGATTTTAGAATGTCTATCCATCTAGTGTGGGGGAGGAGGGTTCAACTACATAAAAGGAAATTAGTTAAAAATTAAGTACACTGTCTGAAGTTAAGCAGTTGCATTCTTTCCTACAGAGAAAGCTGCCTATGACACATTATTTTCCCATCAAGAATCTGTTGTATAGAGTTTGAGAAACATTCTGTATTGTCCTCCACCCACCTACCTTTCTACTAATATAGGAAGGCTGTGTAAAATAAACATGGGGGGGGGGCAGTCTGGGGGTTTGAAGGCAAGGCCTCATGCTCTTGGTTTAGCATTTTTTTCCCTCAAGGCTGGAGCTCTACCACCTGAACCACACTTTTGACTTTTTGCTGATTAACTGGAGATGTCTCTTAAGATTTGTCTCCCCAGGGTGGCTTTGAACCTCAATCCTCAGATCTCAGCCTCCTGGGTAACTAGGATTATAGGCAAGAGCCACCAGTGTCCAAACTCATCATCAATTCTTATGGGGGAACTTCCCAAGTTAAGTTTACTAAAGACTAAATCTATTGTTCTCTGACATGAATTTTTATGTGTCATTGAACATACTAATGCCTTGATGTTATTTTTTATTTGGGGGGGGGGGGGGGGGGAAGGGGTCCGGTCGTGGGGCCTGAGCTCTGGGCCTGGGCGCTGTCCCTCAGCTCTTTAGCTCAAGGCTAGCGCTCTACCACTGAGCCACCATCCCAGCCCTGCCTTGATGTTCTTACATGCCAAAAATATAGTAATACAGATGCCTAGATAGGAAGGAAAACAAAAATCAAAATTTCTAAATGAAAGGGACTTAGGCCTTCCTCCATTCTAAATTATAAATTTTATAAAACATCCTATTTAAAGCAACCCTTGGATGGCTAAAAATTCATAAACCTTTTAAGGCAATTTCATTACCAATCTTTAACCAATTGTTTTCTTTCACATAAATGTTTTTTTGTGTGTGGTACTGAAGTTTTCAACATGGGGCTTTGACAGACAGGCCCTATTATTCCAACCTCCATACTGAGGGTTGAAGCCTGAGCCTCCTGGGACCTCAGCCATACAAGAAATCTAAACGCTCAAGGACTATAGCTAAGGGTCTTTTGGGGGCATGAGATTCAATATGGATGAGATGACTAGTAAATTTAGAATAGACAATATCAGCTAATACAAAATGTGGGGAAAAAAATCAGGTTGCGGATATTCCTTGGTGGTGGGGGCTTGCTTAGTATACACGAGGCTCTCAGTTTGACTCCCAATACACCCTGATGTACACACACACATACACACACACACACACACGCACGCGTACACACACACACACACATACACACTGACAAGATAGAGCCTTATTTAGCATTATTACAAAAATATTAACAGAATAAAATTTCAAAGGCAATTTCAAATGCATACTGAATTTTTTCTGATTACAGTTGACTCAGATGATAAAAATGAATTAGAAGAAGAGATATGTGGCTTGTGTCAGACATACAAACAGAAACAGAGATCCCCAGAAGCTAGACGGAGGTGAACTTTCTACCAGTGAAGCAACGCCCACAGGCCATGTCAGACAGACCCACAGGGATTTACCATGCAGGCACTCCTCCTGCCGTCTTCGGCCTTCTCTTGCTTCACAGCCCCGGAGAAGCTGCACACTTCATCTTCCATCCCAGGTTCCTGCTTGACCTTCACTTGATCTGACTTGAAACTAAGACCTGTCTTCTCAGCAGTTCTCCCTGATGATCCACAGCTAATAAATAACACACAAAGGTCACATGTATGAACTACGATGTAAACAAAAATAATTACATGAAAAGTATTTATTAAAGTGAAGACAATAGAGAACAACCACACACAAGGTAAGGATACCTCATAATGCAGTTTAGAGGAATGTGATGGGAGCCTACCTGCAAATCTCCTTAAAAATGTAAACCCGACTTTCAGATGATCCTAAGAATACATTTCTTTTCTTTTCTTTTTTTTTGGGTCCGGTCATGGGGCCTGAACTCTGGGGATGGGTGCTGTCCCTCAGCTCACCAGCTCAAGGCTAGCGCTCTACCACTTGAGCCACAGCGCCACTTCCGGCTTTTTTCTTTTTGCTTATGTGGTGCTGAGGAATCAAACCCAGGGCCTCAGGCATGCAAGGCAACCGCCCCTACCACTGAGCCACCTTCCCAGCCCAAGAATACATTTCTTAATCTGAGGCACTTTTAGTAAAAATCATTTTCTAGGGGCAGTACAGGTTGAATTTTCTGTATTTGAAATACTTGGGATTAGTTTTCTGATTAGGGAATTGTCTCAAACTTTGAAACTGTGCAAATGATGGACAGAATGGAACCCAAGTCTGAATTCTAAATATCAAATTCACTTAATGTTGCTTACACAAACATAATCAGAAGGTAATTTTATGCAGTATTTTAAGTGAAACCTTCATTTTTTAAAATTTTAATTAAAAAAATTTTTTTTGTGGGTTGTGGGGCAAGAATTCTAGGCTGGGCACTGTCCCTGAGCTCATCAAGGCTAGTTAGTGCTCTACAACTTGAGTCACAGCACCACTTCCGGTTTTCTAGTGGTTAATTGGAGAGAAGAGTCTCACAGACTTTCCCTCCTCTGGCTGGCTTTGAACTGTGATCCTCAGATCTCAGCCTTCTGAATAGCTAGGATTACAGGTGTGAGCCACCAATGCCTTCCTTTAATTTTATTTTTTATCATTACTATAAAGATGGTATACAGAGGGGTTACAGTTTATATAAGTCAGGTAATGAGTACTTACTTTTCTTTTTGGAGTTTTCCCTTCCCATTCCCACTCATAAATTAGATAAATCATTTTCAACACAGTATCTAATGAGTACCACAGCTGCATTTGTTCAACCTCTGTCCCTCCATTTCTGTGTCCCACACCCTTCATTTTTGACTGTGGCCTACCACATGAGGTCAGGTTTGGGATTTTCCCTTGAGGTATGGCATGTCAGCAATTTTAGAGCACTTTGGGAATGTGGCTTAGCATGCATGAAGCCCTAGGTTCCATTCCTCAGTACCACACACACAGAAAAAACACAAAGTGGTGTTGTGGCTCAAGTGGCAGAGTGCTACCCTTGAGCTAAAGCAGCTCAGTGATAATGCCTAGGCCCTGAGTTCAAGCCCAGGACTGACAAAAATAAAATAAAAAGGAAGACAGGTACGTGACTGGAACCAGTTCTATGAAGCTCTGTTCAGAGAAAGGAGTAACTGCTAACTAATGAGTAACTACTACTATCAAGTTACCAATTATTTCAAGTAGTATTAAAAAGCCAAACAAATATTTAACAGGATGAATATTCAGAATTCATAGACACACACTCATACACACACAAATTGTCTAGTATTAAACAATTAGCTCTTAAAACTTTTTGGCTTGATTATGGTTCTGCACATGGTCTTTCAAAATTCTTATTAAGTGATACTGAAAGGGTTACAGGTAAAATGAAATGCTTTACAAAACTTATTTAAAAAGAGAATGGGTTGGGTGCCGGTGACTCATGCCTGTAATCCTACCTACTCAGAAGGCTAAGGATCGTGGTTCAAAGCCAGCCCAAGCAGGAAGGTCCGTGAGACTTCTTTTTTTTTTTTTTTTTTTTGGGGGGGGGGGGGGGCGGGGGAGGGGAGTCCGGTCATGGGGCCTGAACTCTGGGCCTGGGCGCTGTCCCTCAGCTCTTCAGCTCAAGGCTAGCGCTCTACCACTTGAGCCACAGCGCCACTTCCGGCTTTTTTCTTTTTGCTTATGTGGTGCTGAGGAACCGAACCCAGGGCCTCAGGCATGCAAGGCAAGCACCCAGAGTTCAAGCCCCAGGACTGACCAAAAAAAAAAAAAAAAAAAAAGAGAATGGCTAAGAATACAAGGGAAATACTACTGAATATGGCTAAATCACTGGAAACTGAGTTGTAGCTATATAGAGGTAAGACAGCCGACTTGTTAATCTCACAATTTTCATTAAATATATAATCTTTTTTTTTTTTAAATAAAATACTCACCTGCCTCGGCTGCCGGTACTAGAGGTACTAGGGGGCCTCACAGGTGTGTGAGAATTTGATAAACCTAAAAAGTAGAAAGTTAAATTGAAGAGCAACACGTGTAGGAACGTTTGGAATTCAAGATTATTACAGCCCTATTCAGAAACTTCTGGAAATTCAAGCCAGCTGCAAAGTCAGGGACAGTGTATCGAATCATTAGCAGGTATCAACCCGTTTCTCTCATCAGGTGATGAGAGATTCTCAGGTGAGAATCATCTTCAAAACAACACTAACCAACAAACAAAAACTACCACATCAAGAGAACCTGTCGTTCTTCCCGTGTAAGTCACCTATTCAGAATTTCATCTGGTTTGTCGGTTGGGTTTTGGTTTTATTTTAGAAAAGAGTCTCAACATCTCAGAATGGACTCTTCTTACCTGAGCCTTCTCTTCTGAGTGCATGTGCCATGCTAGCAGTCCTTACTTTTTTTAAAAGTCCTAGCTAGAATAACTCCTAGTAAACTTCAAAACTTACATAATTAAAAAAAAAATACGGGGCTGGGAAGGTGGCTCAGTGGTAGAGCGCTTGCCTTGCATGCCTGAGACCCTGGGTTCAATTCCTCAGTACCACATAAGCAAAAAGAAAAAAGCCAGAAGTGGTGCTGTGGCTCAAATGGTAGAGCGCTAGCCTTGAGCTGAAGAGCTGAGGGACAGCGCCCAGGCCCAGAGTTCAGGCCCCATGACCAGACCCAAAAAAACAAAAAAACATTAATAATGCACCTCATGCAAAATCTACATTTACATTTTAACAGTTCTTCCTCCAGAAATGATGTATCTTTTTCATAAGAAAAAAGGCAGCCGGGTGCGAGTGGCTCATGCCTGTAATCCTAGCTACTCAGGAGGCTGAGATCTGAGGATCGTGGTTCCAAGCCAGCCTGGGCAGGAAAGTCTGTGAGACTCTTATCTCCAATAAAACCGGAAGTGGCGCTGTGGCTCAAGTGGTAGAGGGCTTGCCTTGAGCTAAAGAGCTCAGGGACAGCACCCAGGCCCAGAGTTCAAGCCACATGACCAACCAAAACAAAAGGAAAAAAGAAAGAAAAAAAAGCGACATGTAGGTTACAGCAGAAAAATGTATTCTATCACCATTTCTGGACAGTTAACATATTTTGCCACTGTTTCACACACAAACTCAGGAATGAGGTTCAGTTACCTCTATAGGATCAACGAACATACCTCATGAATATTTTAATACTGTTCAGTAAATTTAAGTTTTTACAACTTGAAAATTCATGCTTTCCTTCAAATTTATGAAACAGATTTCTATGACTTAAAAAGTGTTTGAGAGCTGTACTAAATACTAAATAGCAGAGACAAGTCCAATGAGATGAGGTAGTTATCAACAGCAGAGGCTACTATCACATACTTTATATCACAGCAAGAAGCCAGACTGTCAGCATTATTTGAACAGCAGCAATAAATTAGAGAATAACCAAGAAGAAAACTATCTACCACTGTGAGATTCAATTTTGTGTACCAAATTAGCTAGGAAATAGGATTCAGTTGTTGAGTCAAACATGAGTCTGCATGCTGCTATGAAGGTAGTTAGATATGATTAACATTTAAGAAAGTCAACTTTCAGAAAAGCAGATTATCCTCCTCAAGGTAGGTTGACTAAAGGCTCTAGACGCTAGACTACAGACTATCATGTACCTTTCCCTGGATCTGCAGCCCTGCAGATTTTAGACTTGCCAGTACTTAGAAATCACAAAATCATGGGAGTCAATACCTGAAGACGAATCTCCCTGTTACACTCCCATTCCCCACTTGTGTTTTGTGTGTGTGTGTGTGTTGTGCCTGTAAGATATACATCTCCATACACACTTGCATCCTGTTTCTCTAGAAAAGCCTAACATAAACACTAACTTTCTTGGAACGGATGGTGTTAAGGAAACGAGGCAAGTTCCCCACATGCTTTACCTGATGATCCTGGAGATAAGGCAGAGGGTCCAGGGGAAGGGTTCATGGTGCTTGTAGGCTGTGGGGGTAGGTGGCTGCCTGTAATGTATCTACTTAGTAGATTATCTAAACTACTTGATCCAGCATCTTCCAACTAAAGAGAAAGAAGATAAAAATAAATCTGCTTTGATTAAAGAGGAAACATCATTAATTTCATTAGTGTCACTGCTTACACTCACAGTTTGCTAAAAGATTTTCCAATATAAAATTCAATTCAATTGTTACTTCCTTAGGTGCCTTTGAGAATCCATAGAATACAATCTTTTGTTTTTGAATCATGGACTTACCATGAAGCCCAGGGTGGCCTTAAAATTTGCAATTCTCCTGACTCAACTTCTGAGTGCTGAGATTTCATACATATATCACCTTACCCAGTTACAAGTACAAAATCTGCAAATAAAACTATCCAGCCAGATGTTACCCAGCTACAAGTACAAAATCTGTGACTATGGCTCATGCCTATAATCCTAACTACTCAGGAGACTGAGATCTGAGGATCCGTGGTTCAAAGCTAGTCTGGGCAGTCAAGTCCATGAGACTTTATATCCAATTAACCACCAAAAAGCCAGAAGTGGTACTGTGACTCAGGTGGTGGAGCTATCCTTGAGCACAAAAGCTCATGGTTAACACCAGGCCCTGAGTTCAATCTCTAAAACCAGTGCATGCACACGCACACGCACACACACACACAAAACATAAAAAAACCTAAGTGTCTACACCTTATTCTTTAAAAATTTCAAGGAAATGTTGATGCTGAAAATTAAAAGCCATTAAGGAAACCTGAAATAAATACTCTACACATCTTAATTGACATGATGGTCTAAATGACTCATTTACACGAATACAAACCTGTATAGGAGGAATATCTGGCAGGGAAGGAAGGTTCTCTGGGTTTGTAACTGAGGGGATTAGCTCTATGGCTGTAACAGATGGGCTGGTAGGACCTCGGTTTGCATTTGCCATAGTTGCTGTAGTAGGGCTCGTTGGATTAATTGTGGTGTTGTGTACTGATACCACAGGAAAGGGTCCGGCATGCCCTGGGTTTGAATGCTGATAAGAAAGAGGATAGTATCATTAGAGGTCTAACAGGATATCTTAGTAACAATCTTTAGTTTAAAAAGGGTATTTAAAGAAATCTCTCAAACTTTTACAAAACATTCAAAGCTTCAGCTTATTTATTTTTGTGCAGTTTGTAGGAAAAAAGATTTGCCACATGGTGATATGACCTTCCTTTAGAACAAGAACATATGAAGATGCCAGGAAAGCTGTCCAGTTTACAAATAGCAGGCCAAGAAGGCCCGTGTTCTTTCTATACTCCCTGCTGACCCATTTGACTTTATTCTAACAAAAATGACTAGAAAATACAGCTTGAAAGCCATCTTCAGGTCAAAAGGATGTGATGTACAGGTATGATGGCCCTGCCCAGACAACACCACATGTTGCTGGGAGTTTTATTTTAGAAAATAAAAGGATGGTAAAGAAAGGCAGAGAGAGAGAGAGGAAGGAAGGAAAGGAGGGAGGAAGGGAGGGCAGGCAGACAGGAAGGGCAGGTTTATTCAAATGAACTCCAAAAAATGGAAAAAGGGAGGGAGGGAGGGAAGGTCCAGTTTAGCCAGGCACCCTTGGCTCAGGAGGCTGAGATCTGAGGATAGTGGTTCAAAGCCAGACCAAGCAGGAAGGTCTGTGAGACTTATCTCCAATAAACCACCAGAAAACTGGAAACTGGTGCTGTGACTCGAAGTAGTAGAGTGTTAAGCCTTCAACTAAAGGAGAACAAGGACAGCACCCAGGCCCACAATTCAATGTGCCCAGGACTGGCCAAAAGAAAAAAAAAAAGAAAGACAAAGTACTACTTGATATAGTAAGAAATGAAAAATTTACAAAGTGAACATGACTTTGATTCCAGATTTTAATACTGTGTGACCTTAAAAAAGTCACATAATCTCAGTAAATTTAGAAATGAGGGTGACATCTTACCTATTTTATTGGGAGAACTGTTACAAATATCATTTAAGGAGATATATGACAGTTGTTGAGAATTTCTACCCGTAGATAAATTATTTAAAAACTAAAAAAGCTTATTCAGTGATTAGTCAGGACAGCTCATCAGAAAATGTTGAGAATACAGTGTCTGCACTCTCAAAAGAATATATAGTCCTTCATAGTATCCACAAGTTTCCCAAGAAATAAGGGTTGCATCAGAACCAAATTAAATTAGTATCTAAAAAGTGGGCATGCCTAAGAATGTTCAGCCCTGCAAGGGCCGAGACCTCCAACATGCCTCTGCCAACTGCTTTCCTCTCACTTGACTAAGAACAGCACACCACTGGCCCACTCCTAACTGGATTCTCAGCACAACTTCCATTAAAAGAGAGAGGGACCTATACAGTTAACCAAAGGTACAATTGGAAATAATACTGTTGGGTACCAAAATTATATAACTGGTTATGAAACATAAATTCAAATTTTCAAATGGGTTCAATTAACCAGCAAAAAAGATGGAAGTAGAACTGTGACTCAAGTGGTAGAACGCATGCCAGCCTCAAACAAAAAAAAATATTTGGTGGGGCTGGGAAGGTGGCTTAGTGGTAGAGTACTTGCCTTGTATGCATGAGGCCCTGGGTTCGATTCATCAGCACCACATAAGCAAAAATAAAAGCTGGAAGTGGCGCTGTGGCTCAAGTGGTAGAGCTCTAGCCTTGAGCTGAAGAGCTGAGGGACAGCGCCCAGGCCCAGAGTTCAGGCCCACAACCGGACCCCCCCCCCCAAAAAAAAAAAATCTTTGGGATGCAGAGGCCCTAAGTTTAAGCTCCCTTCCCCCCACAAAAAAGCTAAGGTCTGGAGGTGCAGCTAAAGAGATGAAGTGTGAGGCTCTGAGTTTAAACGCTCATACTGTCCAAAAAAATTTCTATTTTATAAATAGAAGTGTTACTAAAAAAAATGGTATTTTAAAATCTTACGTTCAACACAAATAGAGTCTAAAACTTACAGAGTATAAATCTGTCTATAAATACATTCGGTTTTTGGTGGTGTTAGGGATTGAACCTAGGTAGTACCAAGAATGCAAGGCAAGCAATTGACTATACTTCCAACCTACATTCATTTTTGAACGATTCTATCATCTTTTTTAACACAGGTAAATCAAAATTTCCTTAGATTTGCCAACCACAATAGGAAAATCCAGGAGACACTAATCTCCAATTAACCACTAAAAAGCTAGAAGTGGTTCAAGTAGTTGAGTACTAGCCCTGAGCAAAAAATGCTCAAGGACAACACCCCCAGTTCCTGAGTTCCTAAATCTCAGTACCAACACAAACACAACACAACAAAACTCCACAAACATGTTCTTTATCAGTTGTGGTACCTGAACTCTGGGTCTGGACACGGTCTCTCAGCTCTTCAGCTCAAGGCTGGTGCTCTACCACTTGAGCCACATGCCTCTTTTGGCCTTTTGGCTTATGTGGTGCTAAGGAATCGAACCGCCTCATGCATGCAAGGCAAGCACTCTACCACTGAGCCACCTTCCCAGCCCACAAACATGTTCTTAATGTTGAATATAAAATTTTATGTGTGCCAGGTGCTGGTGGCTCACTCCAATAATTCTAAACTACTCAGGAGGCTGAGAGTTGAGGATCACAGTTCGGAGCCAGCCCAAGTAGAAAAGTCCATGAGCCAGTTTCCTCCAATGAACTACTCAGAAAAAGCTGGAAGTGGCACTGTGACTCAAGTGTAGAGTGCTATATATAGCCTTGAGCACAAAGCAGCTCTGGAACAGAGCCCAGGCCCTGAGTTCAAGCCCCCAAACCAGCAATAAATAAATGAGTAAATAAAATCAAATTCTTAAATATACCAATGACATATCCTCAACAAGCGATTGTGTAAAACAAGGTTTTTAGTTTTAAAATTGTATGATTCTTACAAATGTAACTCTAGGCATACTTGTCTTTGGAGGTGTGGCTGCATCATGGAATACTGAGGACCGCTGTGTCGGGGGATGCCTGGAATCCTGGCAGCGTTCTGCGCCAGCCTCATCTGATGGGCCTGGAAAGCCCCACAGCTCATGTTGCCTCGCTGCATTGTCTGCACACTGATCAGTCTTGGAGGCTGTGAGGAGTAGCAATTGCAGTGTGTATAACTATTTTTAGAAATACATTTTTCCATTATAAAATGTTATGGCAAAATTCAACTCAAGATAGAAGGATGCAATGCCATTATTCTCTTTTCTAGCCCTAATCCTCATCACTTCAAATTTTCACGAGAGAGAGAGAGAGAGAGAGAGAGAGAGAGAGAGAGAGAGAGAGAGAGAGAGGGAGAGGGAGGGGGGGGGAGAGGGAGAGGGACAGACAGACAGACAGACAGACAGACAAGAAAGAGAGAGGGAGAGGGAAAGAGGGAGAGAGGAGAGAGGAGAGAGGAGAGAGAGAGTGCGTGAGCCCAATATTAGTTTGGACTATGAAGGACAGGGAGTATAAGAGAGACAGGCATGCAAATGATCTGACAAATGCCTAAACAACAGAAGAACCATGACAGTTCTCGGGAAGACACAGTCTTGGTTCTTTGGCCCATGACCTTGTATCTAGCAGGGAGAGATGAAAACTCTAGTACTTCCTAGTATGAGTGAGTGAGTTTGGTTTTTATTATTTACTCACTACCGTTTGTCTTCTGTCTCCTCACATCCCTACTGCAGCCTTTTCACTTACTTGCAGGCTTCCCACTTCACAACCAGGGTGGCGGTGGCTTGATGCTCACCTGCTGCTGTAACATTTGTGGGGACGCCTGTCTGGCGTGCTGCTGCGCAGTGGCTGTTGTGGTGGGTACAGGGGCTGGTGGTTGCTGCATCCTCATCTGCTGCAACTGCTGCTGTTTCTGTGCATACACTTGCTGTTGCATGTGCTGGAGTCGAAGCTGTGCTAGGTTAATCTGTCCAGGGGTTTTACTGATGTGGTTTGTCCCTGGAGGAACTTGCCCAACCACCACATTAGGAGTGTAACCAGGAGCCGGTTTACTCTCTATTACTAGATTACCTGAGGAATTGAAAAATGAGAAGAATTTGCATACAATCAACTGAACTGGCTACTTTGAGGATAAGCTCTTCTTCCTCTGATAAGTACCTCAAAGCATCCAAAAATACAGCAAGGATAGGAGCAAGGTTTGGACATACTGATGATCAGAAAACAAGTATACTACAAAGTCTTACTCCCAAAAGACTTATGACTGGCCATAATATGCTATTTTCCCTTACTTTTCCTTTATACAAATGCCCAGAAAATTGAAGAGTAAGTATTACTAGAGAAGGCCCATCTAATCAGTGTAAAGCAGTTCTCCCTGACAAGACTAAAGGATACTCATGATTGCTGATACTGATTCAAGCTGCTTTTGCATTGCCAAGTATTAACAGGTAGACTTTATATTGCTACAAAACTGTCTTTTATGAAAACACTGAACTGTTTAAACCATTCATGTCTTACAAAGTGACCATATCCCCTTTTTTTTCTTTTGCCAGTCCTGGGGTCTGAACTCAGGGCCTGGACATTGTCCCTGAGCTTCTTTTGCTCAAGGCTAGCACTACCACTTGAGCCACATCTCCACTTGTGGCTTTTTCTGTGTATGTGGTACTAAGGAATCGAACCCAGGGCTTCATGTGTGCTAGGCAAGCTCTCTACCACTGAGCCACCTTCCCAGCCTTTCCCTTACTTCCAACAGAGCCATTACTTTGTATGAACAGAGGATCAATTTTAGGAAGGTAGAGGCTGGCAGACCACATATGATCTGTCACACCATGTTAAGTTTTACAACCTTTTTAAAATGAAGGGAAAAAAATTCTTAGTTTCTCTACCACACAGAAATTATTTATGATGCTACAATTCCAAAATGACTTAGTAGACACAGGGTATATTTTAGCAGTACACAGGATTCTTCTTTTATAATTCAAATGCTAAGGATCTGGCTATTTAGAAAACAAAACTACTGGGGCTGGGAAGGTGGTTCAGTGGTAGAGCGCTTGCCTTGCACACCTGAGGCCCTGGGTTTGATTCCTCAGCACCACATAAGCAAAAAGTAAAAAGCCGCAAGTGGCGCTGTGGCTCAAGTGGTAGAGCGCTAGCCTTGAGCTGAAGGACAGCACCCAGGCCAGAGTTCAGGCCCCACGACCAGACTCCGCCCAAAAGCAAAACTACTCAAGGTTCAGGCAACTCTATTTTGACCAGGTTTTTTTCTGATGCCATTTCAAGAGACAGAGTCTCATTATGTTGCCCAGGCTGCCCTCAGATTCTTGGGCTCACATGATCCTGTTATCTCAGCTTCCTGAGTAGCTCCAAATATAGACAACATGCCATTGGTACCTGGTATTTTTGTGCCCGTCCTGGGGCCTGAACTCAGGACCTAGCAACTCTCTCTGCCAAGGCTAGCACACACCTGAGCCACAGCTGCCACTTCTGGCTTTTTGCTGATTAATTGGCGGTGAGTCTTATAAACTTTCCTGCCTGGCCTAGCCTGCAATCTACAATGTCCAGATCTCAATCTCTTGAGTAGCTAGGATTATAAGGTATGAGCCATTAGTACCTAACTGTTTTTGTTTTTAATTGAACTATTTTTCTCTATCTCTGTAGCTTTCTTCAATGGTCTTTATGTCTACAACATGAAATAACAAAAGCAAAGCTCATTGTTCTACCTAGTGAAAAGAGCACCTTTGTCTTTCTAATGTTCTTCAGGGTATGACCACTGGACACTTCAGCTTCCTGAAGGTCCTCCTCTATGTACCACTGGCATAATTAAACTATAGAATCGAAGTATTTTACTAGAGAATAAAGAATCATTTATATTGAACACTGAGCTTTCAAAAGGTTGCAAGAGGGAGCCAGGGGCTGGTGGCTCATGCCTGTAATCCTAGCTACTCAGGAGGCTGAGAACTGAGAATCGTAATTCAAAGCCAGCCCAGGCAGGAAAGTCTGTGAAACTCCTATTTCCAATAAACCACCAATCCAGAAGTTGTGCTACGGCTCAACTGGTAGAGCACTAGCTTTGAGCTGAAGAGCTCAGGGACAGCACCCAGGCCCAGAATTCAAGCCCCCATGTCCAATCAAGAAAAAAAAAAGTTGCAAGAGGGAAAAGCTAGAAAATGGCATACCTTAGCTGGGTACTGGTGGCTCATGCCTATAATCCTAGCTACTCAGGAGGCTGAGATCTGAGGATTGTGGTTCAAAGCCAGCCCAGGCAGGAGATAAACTCAGTGGGACTCTTTATCTCCAATTAACCACCAGAAAATGGGAAGTAGCGCTGTGACTCAAAGTGGTAGAGCACTAGTCTTGAGCTGAAGAGCTCCGGGACAGCATTCAGGCCCAGAGTTCAAGCCCCATGACTGACAGAAATAAAGGGGGGGGGGGGGGGTGGCGTGAGGGAGGGAGAGAAGGAGAAGGAGAAAAAGAAAGAAAGAAAGAAAGAGAGAGAGAGAGAGAGAAATAAAGAAAGAAAGAAAAATGGCACACCTTAAAAAATATTATAAGGACTGGGAATGTGGCTTAGTGGGTAGGGTGCTTGCCTCGCATGCATGAAGCTCTGGGCTTGACTCCTCAGTACCACAAAAACTGAAAAGGCTGGAAGTGGCACTGTGGCTTAAGTGGCAGAGTGCTATACCTGAGCAAAAGCAGCTCAGGGACAGTGTCCAGGTCCTGGATTTAAAAAAAAAAAAAGAGATGGGCATTGGTGGCTCATTCCTATAATCCTAGTTACTCAGGAGGCTGAGATCTGAGGATCATAGCTTGAAGCCAGCCTGGGCAGCAAAGTCCAGAAGACTTATCTCCGGTTAATCATCAAAACCCCAAAGGTCGAGCTATAGATCAGGTGTAGAGTGCTAGCCTTGAGCAGGGGCAATGCCTAGGTCCTGAGTTCAAGCCACAGGACTGGTATAAAAAAAAAAAAAGTCCCCACTATACAGGGCTGGAGTGTGGCTCAGTGGTAGAGAGCAACCTCAGTGATTGAGGCCGTGGGTTCAATTCCTACCAATAAAAACAAAGTACACTACATTGAGTAAATTCTATGTATCATTAAGATATAAGGACATGACACTATAAAACCACTAGAATGAGTTTCCAACAAATAGGGTTATTTTCCAAATCATTCATATTCTAAAGTTTAAAACTATCTAAAATTTCTTTACATGTTTTCTCCTTTCAATTTATTGCTTCAAGTTATATCCACGTGACAATTTCTCACCTAAATTGACTACATTCTTTGCCCAGAAGGTGGGATCACAATGGAAACGTATGGCTCCATTAGCAGCAGGGACAGGATCACACCGCGCTTTCAAAATATGACGCAACTGAAAAGTAATCTTTAAGGGTAAAAATTCACATTAGTCTTAAGATTAAATGCCAACTGAGAAAGCATATGAGACAGAGACTTAACAAAAGCCATACAAGCCCATGTGAAGTCTCTTACCTGAGAGACTCGATGCTTAAATTAGCAATCAAATATAATATACATACTTGAATTTCTGCTGGTTCTGTTAAGAAATTAAGATTCTAGGTACCTTTAAAAGAATACATACAATGTGGTTCCACTTAAATAAATTCTCAAAAATGACACATCAGATTTGTGTTGCTTAAGATCATGGATAAAGGGAACAAGGCAAGTTTTAAGGATAGAAATTTTCTGTACCTTGATGTAAGAGTGGCTGCATTTGCTGAAATTCACATTTACCCTTTAAACCAATAGTTATGCTTTCACCACCAACAGTGAGTGAAGGAGTGAAGGTAAACAGAATTGTACTAAGACCAGTCACAGAAAACTGAAGACAGTGCGCGCCTCACCAGCCGCTTGCTGTACAGCAGAGCAGTGCTGCTGCCACTCGCAATCGCCCAGTTTGTGAAGTTCATGACATGCTTCACCTGCCGGGAGAGGCCCGTGATGTCACTCTGCTGCTGCAGGAGTTTCATCTGTCTTTCTTTCGTAACATTCTGAAACAGAAGAAGAACTTCACTAAAGAACATGCCACAGGAAGAAGACACATGGATGCAATACTGACATTTCCCTTTAAAAAGGGGAGAAGAGCAGCTTGTGATTGTCTACTAAGGCTATAGTAAGAGGAGAAGTAACTAACAAAAGTGGAACTAAAACTCAGCTCTCTATGCTAAGACATTCCACATGTGAAATTCATGTTAGTCAATCTCTTATTCTTTAGTCATATAAAATGTTTAAAATAAGGTCTTCCTGTTAAAATGTTAAATATGTATTATAGCATTATGAACTGAATTTTAGAAATAATTTTACATAATCAACTAAATTTCCTAGACCAATAAAAATGTGTCATCTGAGTGCCATCTAGTGGTATTACTTGAGATTAAAGTTAAAGACTGTCACAACTCAAAACAAAATGATCAATTCCAGAATTCTAAGAACTACGGGCATTTGTGATATGACAAAGTTCACAAATACGAAGGAGTTGGCCAACCTATCAAATTTCAGAAAAAGGCTGCCAAGGAAACGAAAGTGCTCAAAGGAACTAGACCCCAAGGTTGAAATGACACAGCAACAACCTTACAATGAGTTGGCTCTCCCCAAATTATTCAACTTGGTTGACTGCATAACACTTTTCCTAAGAAAGTAAGTTTCATTTTATATTGTAAATCAATGAATAAAAGTACTCATCTGGAAGAATTTTCATTTACAACTTCATCAAAAAAAAAAATCAATCTTTTAACAAAACCCAGGAAAACCTCTCTTTTTCGAAGTTTAGGAACATATCACATTAGAAAACATCTATTTTAAAATCAGTATTAAAGTATATGGGACACTTGTCAGAAAGTACTGACATTCACTTCAATCTTAAGAGGTGTCTTTTAATTCTGAAGCTCTTAAATCCATACTACGAATATTAGCTATACAGTTAAAATGTACTTACAACTTAAAATGTATCAAAAAATAGCTACTGTTAAGTGCTCTCCATTCCCCTGGTGCTTTTGAGGTGTAGAGCAATGAACAAGATACCCAAGAGGAAAGAGACACCAACTTTAGTGATGTGAGAGTACTTTTCATCTCACCACTGTTTTCAGTGGAGAGATAGATTTAAAATTCAGAAATACACAGTTCATATAACTTATTTGTAATTATATGCCTAATATTTTTAAAGGGTTCTACAAAAAAACAAAATAGAAAAGGATCTAAGGACAATGAGAAGTTAATGGAATTTAAAATAGTTTAAATTATTATTTACCGATACAGAAAACACAGTCCCATATCATCTGAGTCTATTAAAGGCAGAAAGTTTTCAAAAGAGAAACTTTTTCCCCTAAAAAAACCACATTGGGAATTTGCTGAGAATATATCAGTTGTGGACACTAAAATTAATTTGGATTTCACAAACTAGATTCTCATCTAGGTTACATCCACACAAATCTCAAAATATGCAACGTGATGTCCTAATTATCAACTAAGGTTTATAAATTTCAAAATGGGCATTTTTGGCAAAACACTGTAAAAAAAATTTTTAATAAATAAAAATGAAATACATACATGACTCAAGCACAAGCCCAATGTACATCTGAAAGAGTAAAATGGAGTCCCCTTGTTAGGGGTAAGAAAATAAATGGGCCAGCTTTTTCCATTTTTAGCACACTTTAGTCAAAATTCTTGCATTCCTAAGAGGACACAACACTCTATTACATAGCTAAAACCAGTGCTATTAACTTGGGCTGCAAAGTAACTAGAAAAAAAAAAAAAAAAGGGAAGAAATCTTTCTCAACAGAAAATGTGAAAGAAAAACTTTAAAATTTCATTTCCATATTCCAACCCAATTAAAAGGCTTTCAATTACACTGAAAACAGCTGAAGAGCAAAAGAAGCAGTTTTTATTTATTTTGTCTTGGAACCATACCTCTAGCTGCTGTAAGAGGGATTTTCCTTTCTTATTAATCTCATTGATAAGGGTGAAAATGGCCACTTTAATTTCCTGTTCTACGCGTTTGTTAGTCTCATTTACTTCTTTTATCCTGAATGAGAGAAATGCAGCATTAGGTCATCAACTTATGCTAGGTGCTGAGTCATCAACCTTTACAGAAACTCATTCAATGGGTCACTTAACAAGTAATTCAAGTTAACACTTCCTCAAAGTCTAAGACTTCCGTTTCAGCAGACCATACCACTTAATTTGGTCCAAACAAGTTAGTATAGATATACAGAAAGAATTTTGTAATTAGCCATTTTAAACTCAACTCATGAAGGCCAGTTTATCAAGCTGGAGACAGTCCCCTTAAGCTACTATTAACATGAAAGTGATATACAAACATCTAACACCAACGACAGCTGGTGTCCAATGACACACTGGTTCTATCTTATCTTAATGCTTTTGACAAACTGAGCAAAAGTACCATGCCATGGTCAGTACTTGCCACCTTTTTGAAGAGGCAAGAATTAAACTTGGTAAACTTTTTTGCCACTTCAGATGTGGGTTCTGACACACTTGCTCCACACACTCAGACGGCTCTCTACTGTAACATACAAACGAACATAAAGCATTTTCAGTGTGCCACCACTCCCTCGGGGCCTTCCCTTTACCATATTTAAGGCACCACATGGGTGTAACACAGCTTTCCCTCCTTTGTGTATCACTGCTTGTTTAGGCATGTACTGGAAAATCCTTATCTTAGTAAAGCCAGTGGAGGACCCTGAAACAAGGCCATTACTAATTGCTGTGACAAAACACATGGGTCCCCCAATGTCAAAGGAGCCCACAATCAGAATCATGGAGTATCAGTAAGATCTACTGTGTGGGTCAACTAAGAAGGAAGAAAAAAAAGCAAGGCACAGCGACATAGGTTTGCAATCAGCAGACATTTCCCAGCACTTGAGAAATGGAAACAAGAGAATCGAAAGTTCAAGGCCAGCCTATACTACACAATGAAACTACAAAACAAAAATTCCTAGAGATGAAATCACTAATATTCCCCAAAGCTTTAAAAGCAGTGAGCCTTTAGTTCTATTTCCTTATACAGATCCAGAAACGTGTACAAAGTTTAAAATGAAAAATTACAATATGCATAGTTGGGTGTTGGTGGTTCACACCTATAATCCTAGCTACTCAGGAGACTGAGATCTTAGAATTATAGTTCAAAGACTGCCTGGGCAGGAAAGTCCATGAATCAATCAATTAATCATCAAAAAGCTAGAAAAGGAGCTGTGGCACAAGTGGTAGTATGCTAATCTTGAGCGGGTATAGTTCAGAAATAGCACCCAAGGCCTGAGTTCAAGCCCAAGGACTAGCACACACTCATTATTTTGAAAAATACTAATAATAACAATATACATGTAAAATACACATTTAAAAACATGAAAATGCCACATAAGTCAACTAATTTCCTTTAAAGGGGACCTCTATAAACTTGTCTATCTTTGTCAATCTCTGCAGTACTTGGGTTTGAACTCAGAACCTTTCTTGAGCCATGCTTCCCACTGAAAAAAGACATCTACCTATAACTTGTGAAAAGACAAGTTATCTTCTCCAATATCAACCACAACATATCAATAGTTTAATCTAAAACATCCTAACCTGCCTTGCATAAACAACTATCAACAAATGTGTATATCAATACTTATTTTACAGGAAACTTTTCTTTTTTTGTTTTGTTTTTTATTTTTGGTCGGCCGTGGGGCTTGAACTCTGGGCCTGGGCGCTGTCCCTCAGCTCTTCAGCTCAAGGCGAGCACTCTACCACTTGAGCTACAGCGCCACTTCCGGTTTTCTGGTGGTTTATTGGAGATAGGAGTCTCACGGTCTCTCCTGCCCAGGCTGGCTTTGAACCGGGATCCTCAGATCTCAGCCTCCTGAGTAGCTAGGATTACAGGCATGAGCCACCAGCGCCCGGCCAGGAAACTTTTCTTTTCTTTTGAAATCATTTAAGATGAAAAGCTCTACAACAGTTAAAGCACTCTCTAATACTCTAGTATCTATTATAGTCTTTTTAATCATCACAAACTCATTTTAAAAAGCAAAGCAGGGCTGGGAAGGTGGCTCAGTGGTAGAGCGCTTGCCTTGCATGCATGAGGCCCTGGGTTCAATTCCTCAGCACCACATAAGCAAAAAGAAAAAAGCCGGAAGTGGCGCTGTGGCTCAAGTGGTAGAGCACTAGCTTTGAGCTGAAGAGCTGAGGGACAGCGCCCAGGCCCAGAGTTCAGGCCCACAACTGGACCCAAAAAATAAATAAAAATAAATAAAAAGCAAAGTGAGCAACTGAGCACTAGTGGCTCACACCTATAATCCTCGCTACTCAGGAAGCTAAGGATCTGAGGACTGGGGTTCAAAGCCAGTCTAGGAAGAAAAGTTTATGAGACACTCATCTTCAATTAATCATCAGAAAACTGGAAATGGTACTATGGCTCAAAGTGGTAGCCTTGAGCATAAAAGCTCAGGATCCAGGCCCTGAGTTCAAGCTGACATACATAAATACATACATACAATTCCAATATTTTTGAGTCTACATAATAACCATAGTAACCCTGATTCACAGCTTCAGAAATTTCCAGGTTTTAATTATGCTAGCTCCAAGAGTTTGTCTTTCTAGCTTGAGTCTTAACATTGTTAATCTACATTTTCATAGTACTTATTACCACTTTCCTTACAAATTTCAATTCTTTACAAATAAATGTGTTCAAGTAAAGTGCTTCTTAAGTAACAATGATGACAGCAGGTGAGTTGGGTCTGCACACATTCTTGTTATCACACTACTGTAAGAAGTCTTTAATTTTGGTTCTGTAGATTAAGCTGCTCTCAATACTCTACCTTCCACATACAGTCTCTACTTTTAAGTAATTCAACTTGCCTTTCTATTACTGCTTTTTCCAAGTTTACAGTTTATACAAATGGAATCATTATTTTAAAACAAAAATGCATAGTAGATTATATAAATTTTTCATAGTTAACAATTACAATCAAACTCAAATTTTATTATTTATTAAAAACTGTTTTCTATATGTGTTTAATAGAGTAGAAAAACATTTAAATTGGACCCTCTCTTTTTCGATAGTACAAAATGTAAAATTATAGCTTTAAGGCAAACTTACCTATTCTGTACCTGGGTAGCTGCAAAATGAACGTAATTCTTCTTCTCAAGAAGCTTAGCCAATAAATTCTCAATTGCACCTTTCTGATTTTGAAATGCTTCTTCCAAAAACTGATACCTAAAATCCAACACAGAAACAATATTTAAAACAAAACATACAACGAAGATTTAGTAAAGAAGGAAGATATGTGAGTCAATTGTGAAACTTCACTCTGATCATCCTGCTTATCTGGTTAAAAGTGATGTGGTACAAATCAGGGATGGGAATGACCAAGCTTTCCCATGACATGACATGCTGGAGGCAAGGTAGAATTTACTTACGTGAGAGACATTCCTGTTCCAGATCAAGCCAAGTGGAAAGAAAATGCACAAATCTGTTCTGGGAATCAGTTCTGGGATGTAGTGTGTGGATCTCAATCTGAGTGTGTTTTCAACTTGGTTACTTTTTAAACAAACAGTAATTTAAAAAAGGAGAAAAAGATATTCCTAGACAGACACTACTGTGCCTTTTGGTCTGGGGTCCCCCAAAAGGCTACACATTATCCCCAAACTTTTCAAACTTTCAAAAGGTGATATCTACCCAAATGTTGTCAGAAAACGTTTGATCAAAGAAGGTAAGAAATCCAGGCTGAAAACACCCAAGATCCTGCATCATGTTACTCCACAGATTGTAAACACAAGTGCAGCAGCAGTGCTCTGAATAAACATACAAAGAAAAATGAGTACGTTGCAGAATATGCTAACCTCTGGCCAAGAGGAGGAAGAAAGCCAAAGAAAAATGTCAGGAAGAATGCTGAGAGATGAAAGCTGTCCTTTCTGAGAGCTTCTACTTCTGAGTCTAGTCAAAAGTAAGAATCTTTAATAATAAATAATCCTACAGCAAATAAATGACTACATCAACAAACTATTTTTCATTTCTTCTATATGCTTTCTACATGAGTAAGGGAGACCCATGTGGCATAAAGACTAATAATGTAATAGGTATAAATATGCATTGATGCCACAATGTGATGAGTGGTGACAGCAGACTATTAAATAATGTGTAACATTAATTTAGTGCTTAAATTGAACTCCATAAAAAAAAAAAAGCTCACAAAGGAACCCCAACAGTATCCTCAGCTAAGAGTGGAGTCACAGTTCTGTACTCTGACTTCAATATGGCCTAAGAAAAATATACAAAGGCCAGGATATGAGAAAACTAATATATAAAACCCAGATGGCCTAGCTACTCAGGAGGCTGAGACCTGAGGATTGCGACCCAAAGGTAGCCCAGGCAGGAAAATCCATGAGATTCTTATCTCCAATAAACCACTGAGAAAACCAGAAGTGGTGCTGTGGCTCAAGTGGTAGAGCACTAGCCTTGAGCTGAAGAGCTGAGGGACAGAGCCCAGGCCCAGAGTTCAAGACCCATAACTGACCAAAAAACAAAAAACAAAAACCACAGGAGACAACTGCATTTCTTTCTATCCTCTTAATAGGAAGTCCCTGAAGAATCCTGAGGCAAATATTAAAATCAGATTTGCATCTTAGGAAAATATTAAAAATATAAAAGGCCTAGCCAGTGAAAAGGGAGACTAGATAGAACTCTGCAACAGATGCTTCTGGGGTACAACTAAAGAAACACAGCTCTGGTGATCTGTGAGGTCATATCAGCTATGGCAAGGTTCATAGCAGAAGTTGAAAACTGAATGCCAAGCTAAAGCAGTCAAGAAGAAGGTCACTGGGGATGAGAAGTTTAAGATACTGACCCATTAATAATTGCCTTGGGACACTGAAATGACAAAAGGCAAGAACTGAGATGAGGAGAAAGTTTATGACCATCTAGATGTCTGTCTCAGTTAAGAGGCCTTCCTATAAAAGAGGAAATGCAGCTGGGCGCTGGTGGCTCACGCCTGTAATCCTAGCTACTCAGGAGGCTGAGATCTGAGGATCCCGGTTCAAAGCCAGCCCGGGCAGGAAAGACCGTGAGACTCCTATCTCCAATAAACCACCAGAAAACCGGAAGTGGCGCTGTAGCTCAAGTGGTAGAGTGCTCGCCTTGAGCTGAAGAGCTGAGGGACAGCGCCCAGGCCCAGAGTTCAAGCCCCATGACCGACCAGAAAAAAAAAAAAAAAAGAGGAAATGCTATGGAGTTTACACAGGAAAAGTGTGCTTGGTGGTAGATTCAAGGGGAAAGGGAAAATGAAAGGCAGACAAAGGGAAAGGGTAGAATTGTATGGGGTTTTGAATTAGAAAACAGCTAGTGAGTAAGGTTTTTATTCTGCTTATTTAGAGACTTTTTTTTTTCTGTCAGTTGTGGGCCTTGAACTCTGGGCCTGGGTGCTATCTCTCAACTCTTCAGTTCAAGGCTAGTGAAGGTGAGAGCTCTACCACTTGAGCCACAGCACTACTTCCGGTTTTCTGGTGGCAGGCTAACGGGAGATGAGAGTCTCACAGACTTTCCCTGCCTGTGCTGGCTTTAAACCACAATCCTCAGATCTCAGCCTCCTGAGTGGCTAGGATTACAGGTGTGAGCCACCGGTGCTGGCTAGAGAAATTTTTATTGTGGTAATAAAACTTACATGTTTAACCATCTTTAAAAAAATATCTTAGCCGGGCGCTGGTGGCTCATGCCTGTAATCCTAGCTACTCAGGAGGCTGAGATCTGAGGATCGCGGTTCAAAGCCAGCCCGGGCAGGAGAGACCGTGAGACTCCTATCTCCAATAAACCACCAAAAAACCGGAAGTGGCACTATAGCTCAAGTGGTAGAGCGCTCACCTTGAGCTGAAGAGCTGAGGGACAACGCCCAGGCCCAGAGTTCAAGCCCCACAACCGACAAAAAAAAAAAAAATCTTAACAGAAAACTGTCAATGAAGTCAAACACATTAAAACTTGTATAAATATTAACAGTACCCAAATATCATGGGAGCATATTAATTTATGCAGGATGCATGCACCATGTGTGTCTGTAAAACTTCCAATGCAGGGGGGGTTAGGTCAGGAGCATCAGTCAAGCCCAAAGGTTTGGAAACAGCCTGGGAAACCACCTACTACCTTTAAAAAAAAAAAAAAGGTAAAAGGCTGATGAAGTGGCTCAAGTAGTAGAGTGATTGCTAGGTAGGCCCTGAATTCACCACTACCATTAAAAAACAAAGCAAAACAAAACACAGTGTGATGTGTGTCTATCTTGGCACTTGGGAAGTGAAGGCACAATAGAGTTGAAGAACAAACTAATATACTCTCATAAAGCAATAAGCAAAAACAGTAACAACAAACCAGTCAATGCTGGATAGTGGACACAGAAACTGCCTTCACTAAAGACACCTTTGATTTATTCCATATGCTCAGATTCATGTCCAAAAATTTTTTCTGTATTAAATTTGTACAAAGTATTAAATATGAGAAATCTATACCAATACTTAATGAGCTTTATTTAGCTTGTAATGAAAAGATCTTTTTGAAATTAGGTTTAATTATATAAGCACAAAAGAAAGCATCAATTAGTATTCAAAATTCACAAAAGCTATTTTTCCTAGGTTTGTCTTTATCCAGTATGTTCCAGAATTCGATTTCTTGTAATATATCACTGTATTCAGATGAACAAAAGCCAAAGTGACATTCTGTTTTCCTAAATTGTGAAGGTAAAAATGTTTAGCTTTTGCTGTCTTAATACAGGGACTGGCACTTGAGCTGAATGTTAAAGAATGAGTAAGACTGGGCAAGGAAGGTGGCTCAGTAGTAGAGTGCTTACCTAGCACACATGAAGTCCTGGATCCAATTCCTCAGTACCACATACACAGAAAAGGCTAGAAGTGGTGCTGTGGCTCAAGTGGTAGAATGCTATCCTTGAGCAAAGAAACTCAGGTACAATCCTAAGTTCAAGCCCCAGGACTGGCCAAAAAATAAATGAATGAATGAATGAATGAGTAAGACAGTGTTTGAAACTATCTCTTATCCTCAGCATGAAGCAGAAGATAAAGCTAAGGTAATGAGTAGGGAAATACCAGAATGAAGAGCTCTGTAGTTAAGCTGGATTTGGGTAAGAGGTAACAGGAAACCTTCAAGTGACAGACTGAAAACTGAGAATCAGATCTAGCTCTGCTAACTTGCTTAAACAGATACCAATGTGTGACTGCAACAGAATAGCTACTAAGAGCTTGCAAAGTCAAAGGGCACTGCTGACTATAAACTACCTCCACTAGCTTACAGAACAAAACCCAAAAAATAATGGGGGCAAGAACGCAAAGTAGTACTCATTTTATAAATGTTGAAAGAAACAGTCCTGTCAGAACCATAACTAGCCTACTAATGTGAGGGTTTACATGTAATGCACAATGACATGACATATAGAACAGATACATTGAGAGGAATGTTGGGCAAAAGAAATGGTGATACATGAGTAAATATAAAACTCTATGCTGTTGTTTTTCTTCCCATAATTTTCTTAAATGACAGCTACTGTATTGTTTAAAAAAAAAAAGCAATATAAAAAAACTAGGCATGTGGCTGACAGCTGTAATCCTACTCTGAAAAACAGAGTAAAAGCAAAAGGAGGGCTGGGCTGTAGCTCCAGTGGTAAACTGCTTGCCTAATGAAGAGCAAGGGCCAGAGTTCAATCCCCAGTACTGCCTCCCCCCAAAAAAGAAACCCATAGGATTTTAAATCTTGAGGACCTGACACACCAGACACATAAGAAATGCATCTGGGCATTGGTGGCTCAAGCTTGTAATCCTAGCTACTGAGGAGATTTCTACTAAGATCTGAGGATCACTGTTCAAAGCCAGCCTGGGCAGGAAAGTCGGGCAGGAAAGTCCGTGAAACTCTTATCTCCAATAAACCACCAGAAAACCAGAAGTGGTGCTGTGGCTCAAGTGGTAGAGCGCTCGCCTTGAGCTAAAGAGTGCAGAGACAGCGCCCAAACCCAGAGTTCAAGCCCCACAACCGACAAAAAAATAAATAAATAAATAAATAAAAAGAAATGCAACATAATCAGGAAAACACTAATTATGGAATTACTTTTATTGTTGCTTGAAAAAGCAAAATGAAAGTAAGAGTATTGGGACAGATCCTGACAGTAAGCCTAGTTCAAATTTCAATTGGCCTGCTAGCCTCAGGGTATCCCCCCCCAAAAAAATTAT